CTGTTTTTGTCATAATAGTTTTATATTCTAACTTCAATTTAGGAATTGTGATGCCCCGCCTTGCCCTTGATGTCCAGAATTGTTTTTGCTATTCTACATCTCTTCTGCTTCCATATGAATTTTAGGATTGTGGTCTCTACTTCTATGAGGTTTGTGATTGGTATCTTGATTGGGATTGCATTAAATTTGTGTAACCATTTTAGAAGTATGGCCATGTTCTCTGTATTGCTTCTGCCTGTTGAAGAGCAAGGAATATCATTCCATCTTTCCAACACCTTCTGTCTCCTTTTTCAGAGTATTATAGTTTTCTTTGTAAAGGTCTTTTACTTCATTAGATTGATTTCATTTATCTGATGCTGTTGTGAAAGGTGTTTTTTCCCTAGTTGATCTCTCAGTGCATTTATTACTCATGTCAGGAATGTTTTCTTAAATATATTAATTCTTTGTAACTGTTTTAATCTCACTTTTATTTTCTGCCCTGATATTGATAATTTTCTTCCTTTTACTAGCTGTTTATTTAGAGTATTCTTGTTTTACTAGGACCTTGAGTCAGTGCATCATTACATTACTCATTTGTGCTTGCTCCGCTATTGTGATGTGGGCATTCACAGGGATAAACGTCACTCAATTGCTTTGTCTTCTCATGTTTCTTTTTTCTTTTTTTGCTTTATTCTGGTTTGAGGCTTGTAGGTTGGTTGTGGTGAGAGCTTTCTCTCTCGTACAGAGACTTCTGTAGTTGTTTGGACTGTTTCATCGCATCACATGAGTTCTGCTGTGTTGCACGTGGTTTGATTTTAGTTTTAGACGCTGTCTTGTTTCTTCCTTCATTTCAGTGTTGTCTTCTCTGTGTGGCAAATAAACCTTTGCCTGTTTCCTAGGATCCACCCTCCTCCCTTTACCTGAGATGGGATTTTACAAAATACTTGTTCTAGTACCCAGTAATTGGCCCTCATATTTTTACTCAGCAAAGGCAGTCCAGATATTGGCGTCCCAAGAAAACCAATTAATAACAATAGCTGTGACACCTGGGCTATAGTAATAAAATTAGAATCAATTATAGCACCAAGACACTCAGTAGTGACAAACTCTAGAGACTAATAATATACCACACTTAACCATAAAAAAAGATCACCATTATAACATGAACACTAGGAGAAACCAAATATAAATCTGTTGCCTACCTACACTAAACATCTACTGAATAGAATTTTATCTCTACTTACAACAGTAGTGTAAATTTACAAAAAATTAGTGCAAAGTTAACTAGCTATCTAGAGAGCCATAAGCTATATAACAGTACTAGCAAAGATAGTTGTAGGGCCATTCATGAATTTTTTTTTAAATCCTTAATGAGTTGAGAAAGAATTCCTTAATTTGGTAAAGAGTAAACTTCAAAGCATTACTGAAGTATATATTATTTCTGGGAGTAAAATATTGAAAGCTTTCCCAAGCAGCTATCCCCATTCTTCCCCCTATAGCATACAGATGGCAGTTGAAGAGTTTATTTTCTTTATTTATTTAGTACTGGGAATCAAACTCATGACCTTGCTCTTGCCAGGCATGCACTTGTGCCACTGAGCTAGCTCCCTGGCAGAAGAGTTTAAAAGACAAAGTCTTGAGGAAGAAAAAGGAACAGCAAAACCTGAAGAAGAAGAAAAAAACAGAACAAAGCAAAAAACATGATAAGTAGTAGTCAAAGGAAGTAAGGGCAAATGGAAAGCACTTGAGCATCTAGAGCCAGTTAAGGAAATTAAAAACAAGGGTAGAGTCAGCTTTGTTGCATGTTAATGCCAAATTATGGTAGGTAAGATGATGAGATTATCATACTAATGGGGGAGATGTGTGAATAATGAAAATAAAATGAATTTGTTTTCCATCACATGGTATACAAGGACTAAAAGTACTCAAAAATGTGAATTTAAACAGAACAAAAGACTAAGGCAAGTGTAGAGTCAAAGTTTTCCTCATTTGTTTATCTCAGAGTGGTTGGTGTTCTTAAGATATACATAATTCTTTATGCCTATTTTTAAAATATATTCTAATTTTTAAATGTTTTTTTATCATATTCTGTAGGGACTTAAAGTTCAACATATCAATACTTGATGAAAAATACCTATTCCATGTTATGCCTAAGATGTTTGATATTCAGACAGATAGTGAGGTTAAGCTTAACAGCCTAAGTTGTATGGTAATAACAATAAGCTTGTTTTCCGGATGGTTAACAACCTAAGTTTGCAGACCAAAATTAGAGAAAAAGGAAGGCCGCAAGGAAAGCCAACATTTTGGGAAGATTCAGGACATATGAGAACTTGTACTGTAATGTCATGTAACTCAGTAGTGTCCCAAATTTTCTGATCAAGGAGATTATGGGGCCAAAGAGGAAAGTGATCGATGATGTAGAGTGTGCCTGAGGAGAGTCACATGGAGAGAAAACGTTCTCTCAGGCTTTCACAGAGAGCACATTGGCCAAGCAATGGCCGTGACTCATCCACATGGCTGACACTGACAGAGGATCTACAATCTGAGGTACAGGATCTCAGGATAAATCCTGAGGGGATTTCATTGCCCTTATCAGACCCAAAAGCTACAAATTTTGTTGCATAGGTCCTGCTTTACCTTGGTCTTAACCATCCAGCAGAAAAGTATAAAAACAAAATATAAGAAGTAAAGCCATGCTGTTATGTTGAGCTGTAGGGGACTCAGGTCAACAATTTCTGACACTGCCAGTCAAGCAGAAGACCCAATACTATTATGGGCTACTGGACTCTTTTAGAATATTTTGCTGAGTTTACACACCTATAATATTCAAATAACGGAACTTAACAAAATGTGGATACAGATGAATGTCCATTTTGTATCTGCGTATTCAAAGTGGTTAGGATAGATATATAGTTATATTCTCTTAATGAATAGAGGGATTTGTTCTAATGGTGTTTGTAAATAGAATATCAAGACTGGATCTTGTACAGCAATTAACCACTAGGAAGAATGTATGCAATGTATTCATTATTGAAACTGCCCTACCAGTTTGATTTGAAACTATCTCATTGCTATTTGTTTCTCAATAAAATTATGGGGAAAAAAAAAGATGAGACTTGGGCCGGCCCTGTTGCTCAGAGGATTAAAGAGCCTGCAAGCAGGAACAGGGCCTGGAATTTGATCCCTGGGTCTGCCGCGGTGGCCCCGTCCCCAGGGCACACTGTGATAGGGCTTGGTAGCCTGCACCTGGAACCCCAGCTCTTGGGAGGCCGTAAACAGGCGGATCATTACAAGTCGGATCTAGTAGTGACACCCTGAACACGCTGTAGACCCTTCCCTGAAAAAATACCAAAAACAGACAAACAAAAAAAGAGACTTGAACTTGGAACTGAGGCAGAAGAAAAGTTATGGTTACCCAAACGATAATCTGAGATTTCAAACAGTGCAGAAGGGGATTAACATTTGAAATGGGGAGCAGTCATTTTTTCCATGTGAGTGAAGAAAGAAAAAATACATAGTAGAAGCAAACTTTTTTGTAGTTTTGTTGCTAACAACGAGAATTCTTGTTGGATCCTGCCTAATTTTTCTTTCAGCTATAATGGCATATCACCTGTTGTTCCTGAGTAACAGTATTTTGGAGAGTGGAGAATATTTGAAATAGCTGCAGAATATTGCAGAATACCATATTTCTAAATTAATAAAAAGTATGATTGGTAATTATTACTGAGAGTGCACTTGAGAGAAATGGTCTTTTCGAGTGAAACAAGTGTGCACACTGTAAGATTTTCTTTATCTGTACAGAAAAGGCATCCAAGTACTGGATGTGGGAACGCCTTCATTATATCCTTTTTTTTGGAAATAAACTTATTGGCACACAAATGTGTTCACCAGCTGTCTCTGCTTGCTTTGATGATAAACAGCAAAGATAGGTATTTGGTCCTCAGTTCCTAACATTTTTATTGTTTTACTCTTTACACAATATGTTTGCCATCTCCTGTGTAGATCAGTATGCATACGGTACAGAAAAGGCACACATTTGTGGAGTCATTCAGGGTTGAGGTCTTCCTTGATAAGTAGAAAGATGGTGGCATATTAGTATGCTGAGCTCAAGTCAACAACTTTTGACATTGCCAGTCCTGCGAATAACCCACTACTATTGTAGACTACTGGACTACATTGGATTACTTTGATGAATTCATGTGTCTACAATATATGAATGACAATGGAATACCCATCTCTGACAAAAGGAAACAAAAAAGGGGGCTGTAAATGAAGGACCATTTTTGTAGTGAAAAAAATATATATATACAAAATAGGATAAATACATAGCTACTTTCTCTTAGTTCAGTGAGAAGAAAGTTTTGAACTAATAGTGCTTAAAGAAGATATTGTGTCTGTATTTTGTACTATGAAAAACTACAAAGACAACAATATGCAATGCATTAATTATTGTTAATGTCCTACTAACCTGTTTTGAAACTGTCCCTTTGCTACTTCTTTCTCAATAAAATCAATATAAAAAAAGAAAAGAAAGGTGGTGGCAAAGAAAGATACTGGCCTGTTGAACTTGGAAGTCAGGCTGGAGAGGAAAGGATGTGCACAGCACGGACCGATATGGTTTTGTGGCTTATTCCACTCAGTGTCTTGAGAGTAACTAGGGAGAGAAGTCAAAGTGATAAGACTGTTGTTGTTGTTATAGATAACAACATGCATGATTTCCAAGCTAGGAACCGTTCTACATGAGGACACACTGTCCTCGTTATTGTAGCTGAGATGGTACGGAACTGAGAGGAGATTGCTGGCAGCTTCAGCCCTGCTGGGCTCGAGTTCCCTGGACTGAAGGTCAGCGGAAGGCAGTGAGCTGGAGTGGTTGTGTTTTCCTAATTTCTAGAATGTGTTGTGTTTAAGTCAAATCAATTGCTAATAGTCAACTTCTAAACTGCTAAAATATGGGGAAAGGAAAGTTTGCTACTTTGGTTTTATCATTAGAACTTAACTTTTTAAATGTTTTTGATTATCAGACTGCAGATGTATTTAATTTTGAGGAAACAGTTTATAGTCATCATATGTCTCCAGTTGCCACCAAGCACTGTTTGGTAGCAGGTTTGTACATGTATTCTCTTGTCATTTACCTGTCAAATGCTTTTTCTTTTTTCATACCTAATTAGACGAGATGATCAGAAGTTTTTAAAAATAATAAAATTATTTATATTTAGTTTAACAGATGTTTGCAAATCAGGCTTTATGCTAATTGCTAGGATTAAAAAATGAAAAACAAGGGGGCTGGGGAGATGGCTCAGTGGAATAAGCACTTCCCTGGCAAGTGCAAGAGCCTGAGTTCAATCCCTGATTCCGCCACAAAATTTTAAAAAACAAACAAAAAAATAAAGGAAAAAAATCGGTTCCCTAAGGAGTTACCTTTAAGTCACTAAATTTCCATACTTTTTCTTTAATTTTTCCAATTTGATGCAATAAAACAAGAAAATTATTTCCATCTGTAAAATTGTGATTTAAATTACATAGCCACTTGTATGGAAACACCTGCGACAAAAAGTTTTCATGTGAGGAAGAAACAATGTTTTCCTCTTCAGTGTCTGCTCCCTCAGATTGCATTGTTTCTGCTGCTGTCCGTCAATCTCTTCGCCCCTCAATGGCAGGCAGCTGCTTAAATGGCTGAGAATTAGTCACTAACATATCTTGGAGTTCCCTTCAGTCTGTGGTTAGTATTTTTGTGGGTTTATTACTGTGCTTAAAGCCAGAAGTGTACCATTAATGTGGAAAACTAAACTATTAAAATAAAATGATTTGATGTATTAAAATGGCTTAGAAGTATGAGACAGTTAATTTCCCATATAAATACCCTGGGTTTGGTGTTGTACTTAGTACCTGACACCTTAGTACCTATTGTACTTAGTTCATGACGGGAGCCCGGGCCCCTGTCCAGTGGCTTTGTAACTTCTTGCAAATCTCTAAGTAGTTTAAAATGAAAAATAATGTAGCAGTAGACTTCTCTTCCTCCTGAAGTACAGCTAGAACTGAGATAATTTTTCTAGTTATAAGCATTAAGAATTACTTTAAGTGTATTTTTGGCATATACTTTTGTATTTCTGAAAGCATAATGTGAAATGTTGTGATATCTAGATGATATGTTGTTTCCTTGGCTGATGATTTGCAGTAAAATTATATTAAACTTTTGTTTGTTTGTTTTTACAGTTGGTACTAGAGGACCCAAAGTACAGCTTTGTGATTTAAAGTCTGGATCCTGTTCTCATATTCTACAGGGTATCTTTTTTAATTTGAAACAACTACTGCTTTGATTTAACTATCCAATAGAAAGAGTCATTACTAACAATGTATTCTTTGTAAGTGACATGGCTGATGTATTTTATGCTAGTTGTTAAGAGTCAACAAGGAAAGAAAGATTCTTCTGAACATTATGCTTACAAAATTGGACCATTGAGGAGACATTGATGTAAACAACTGCTGTAGGGAAAGTTCAGAGAAAAATAAAAAATACAAGATCTAACTCAAAACTGCATTATCTCAACATTTATTTTTATTATTATTATTTTTTGTATTTTAGGGAAGGGTGTACAGGGTGTTCAGAGTCTTACTACTAGATCGGACTTGTAGTGATCAGCCCGTTTGTAGCCTCTCAAGAGCTGGGGTTACAGGGGGGCACCACCAAGACCAGTTTCAATTGCCATCTTAGCGCGCCCCAGGGGTGGGGCCGGCACGGCAGGCCCAGGATTGAATCCCTGGCCCTCAAGCAGGCCCTTTAATTTGCTGAGCTATTTGACTGGCCCTATCTCAACATTAAAAGGGATAAACTACTATGGAAACTTGATGTCAGTATATTTGTCCCCTGGACATTGTATAATAGTATTCTAATTTTTTAATATTCAACTGAATGTTTGGTATAAGTATTTTTATTTATTTTTTGGGTAGTAGGAATCAAACTCAGAACCTTGCATTTGCCAGCCTGGCACTTCTGTTGCTGAACTGTATATACCTGGCCAAATATTTTAGAAAAAATACGGAAATATTTTGGAAAAGGTATACTAATTTAGGGCCGGTGTGATAGCTCAGCAGACTAACCACTTGCTTAAGCAAGTGCAAGGGTAAGGGTTCGATCCCTGGCAAATATTCCATGCTGGCCCCACCCCCAGGCTCACTGAGCCAGTGATGGAGTCCAGCCGTGGTGGCAGATGCCTGTAATTCCAGCACTAGAGAGGCTAAAAATAGGAGGATCACTACAAGTCAGAGCTGCATAGTGAGACCCTGCACCAAGGAAAAAAAAAAGGTATACTAATGTAAATTATTTTTCATTGGATAAATTCAAGGATATGCATTATGATTCATATCTATGAAACACATTATCCAGAGAACTTGATGAGATCGGTACTAATTGTAATATTATGAATTTCTATTTGTATAACTGAGGCAGATGAAAATTCCAGAATTGAATAGTTCAGTTAGGTAAAACTGAATTAAAATGTTGAAATTATTTATCCTATGAACTTGCCTCCAGACTTTGTAGAAGACGAAATTATACAAATGCTACATCAATTCTTTTTGCCATCATTACCTTAAGAAAAACTAGAACATGTATATATTTCATTAATTTGTTTATTTTATGAATTATTCCAAAGGATCTGTTTATAGAAATAAATAAGCTTAGGTTATATATGGATGAACTGACATGGATTTAATTTCTAAATTTTTTCAGATAGCTCTCACTTGACCTTTCCAAGCCAAACCAGTCCTCTTACATTAAAATACAATGTGTTAAAAATATCCCCACAGACTTCACATTAGTATTTGAACAGAAATTATTATAAATATGAAAAAATGATGAACATATCTAATCACTGTCTAATACTTTATTGAGAATGAGGAAATGTTTTTGAAACTTTATCTTTTTTTTTTTTTTACAAGTGTTTTATTGAGACTTTTTACACAGTTGTTATTTGCAGGTCACAGACAGGAAATACTGGCAGTTTCCTGGTCGCCACGAAATGACTATATCTTGGCAACTGCCAGGTAAAATGTTGTTTATTTAGTTTTTAAATGAATATTACTAACTAATAATAAGCATGTTAAAGAGACTACATTTATAGAAATGTATATTTTAGCATATTTAATTATAAATTAGTTGCTGAAAAAAGACATTATTAGAGATTTTAATTCATACCACCCAAAGAACTCTTCCTTTATATTAAAATCGTAACTATCCATCTTAAAGGTTTTCACTTTGAGAGCAATGAGAAAATGTGAGATTCTGCAAATCAGCTAGGACTACTAATAGATCATTTTGTTGTTTCATTTTTTTGGACACAAAAGTATATCACAATGTTTTTAAAAAAGTTATCTTTCTATTCATTTTTTAACCCAGAATTATTTTGAATATAATAGAAAATACCCATCACATATCCATTATTGATATTTACTGGCTGCCTAGACTTTATCAACCTTTGCACTAGGGCCATTGAAGTAACTTAACTTTGGGAAGCTACCCATTTGTGGGGGCAAAAACAATGAAAAAAACAATGATGGAAGGCATCCTAAAACATATTTTTGGAAGTTGTAGGTAAAGAAAAGAAATACCAAAATTTGGGGGGATTGTTTGTTGGAGGGAAGTATATTCCGTATTTATTTGCAGAGAAGAAAGTCCCAGTAGACAAAAACAGGTGAAGATAAGCAGTAGAAGGAATGACTGATGCTGCGTCACACTGAACAGCCAGGAGGGGAGAAGTAGTTGGGTGTAGACACTGGAGATGACTCAGGGTGGGCAGGCACGTGAGACTAAATGGAAGTAAGGGTGGGACTGAATCCAGGTACGTTTGCTGCTTTGGCAGAGAAGGTGAAGGACTACAAATTTAAGGACCTCAATTTTGTTTTAATAGAGTAGGACTTGATATTGTCTGAAACTATGGAAATGAGGATGCAATTTTGAGGGATGCTAGTTAAGATCTGGATTAGCAGATTGAACGAGGGGCAGCTGATTAGGAACAACTGCGATTGCTGAGTAGTTCTGCATAATTGAATATGTAAACCAGAGTTCTACTAAGCTCCGGAAAGCACAACATCAGATTGCTGTGGCAAACAGAAACACCAAGGACACCCAGGATTTGGAGGCAGTTTTATTTCATGTTAACCTGCACTGACTGGGATCATTCCCAAAAGTATTGGGCCTGGATCTCTGATGATGTAGGACTTCTATATGATGCATAAGCTGGAGGTACAAAGATGAAACAGAACAGCTTTGGAATTCCTCTGACTAGCTAGCAGGGTGAGATCATCAGTTACAAGGCTAGGTTAATTGTCATGAAGCTTGGTACAGTCAGACAGCCTGCATGTTTGGTTATGTTCTCATGGTTACAAGGGTCAAAACAAGTAATGAAGCAGTTACAGAGCGAGGCAGTTTCAAAAGAAGAAATTTTTTTTAAAGGAACAGTTTTCTTGGTACAGTTTTTCCCTTTTAAGATTATGTAGATGTAATGATTTTCAATATATAAAAGAGAGTACATACCTATTCCTGAAGATTTTTGAAGAGCTGGTGAGATAGCTCTGCAGTTTAAAGCACCTGTTTAGGCAAGCACAGGGATCATGGTTTGATTCCCAGCACCACATGTTGCACCAGCCCTGTCCCCAGGGTGGGCTGAGCTGCCCCCCCAAAATTTTTTTTGAAGTCATGAGTATAAGGAAAGAAATAAATCACAAAAAAGCCTGTAGGAGGCATCAAGGACTTCATGAGGCAAGAGTATGCATGTCAAAGTAAGAAAATTCAAAAACAAAAAATAGAAAATATAGTGAAGACAATGGTATAATTTTGTGTGTGTGTTGAGAATTGAACCAAGTGTCTCATACATGTTTACTATGTATCTACTACTACACTGCATCATCAACCCCTATTTTGATATGAATGTTTTAATAAAGATCTGTATCTGGATTTTTGGAAGGTGCTAGCATTTCTCACAAGTTAGTTCCCCCAAAGCTTCTGTTAATAGTTTGTGGAATGTGATGTTCAAAGTTATGGTTTCTGAAGTGTAGCAAGTTGAGACTGTAGCAGTGGAAAGACTGGCCAGAGAGGTGTGAAGGTGAGAACTAGGTGCTCACTGGGTCCAGGCTCGGTGGGTTTATATTCTAGTTTGTGCTTGATCAGAGGAGCAGGGGGCCTTTCCATTCTTGGGGCTCCTACAGGCATTTGAATCAGGGCCAAGTTGGACCTAGTAACGAATATTAAGAGTTTGATATGTATAAATCTAAGGAGTTTCAGAAGAAACTTAAATTCTTACTTCTCCCACTGAAAACATTTTCCTCAGCTAAAAACAGAAAACCAGGCTGAGAATGGAATGTACCAGCTTTCTGCTGAGTGCTCCTGTTGTCTAGCTTTGGTGGTGAGCTGTAAAAAGAATCGCGATTATAGCACTGTGTAAACTCTGTGTGTAGTGAGAAAAGGCTTAAGGTATACTGTAATTCCCTGTCGCTGTGCTGGCGTGAACAGCCCGGTGACTTAGACTGCTGCACCACGGTCCCCCTGTACAAATGCACGGGCGCTAAGGTCGCGGGCCCTCTGTGAGCCACAACGCTAGAAGAGCGGTGAGGGCGCAGTTGCTACTCGAGCACTTGTCACTGTAACATGATTTCTTCACAGCGGTGACAGTAGAGTAAAATTATGGGATGTGAGGAGAGCGTCCGGATGTTTGATTACTCTTGATCAACATAATGGAGAAAAGTCACAAGCTGCTGAATCAGGTAATGAAGTTATATAAATACTAAAGTTGACAATGATAGTATTTCTATGTTGAGGTTTTTAGTTGAAACCATACAATACATATATGTTGATGAATTATAAACATTAGGAAACTTTTAAGACATGTTTGGGTCCCTAAGACAAAGTCCTTGACACCACTGAAAGGAAGGAGGAGAGGCTTACTTGGGCTGACAGGTTTAGTGCCTGCAGTCCATGGCTGGGTGGCTACAAGGCAGAAGTGGCACGACAGAAAGCTGTTCACCAAGTAGAAGCCAAGTAGCAGAGTGACAAGGGGAGAGTCCTAGGTGAGAATACACCCTCCCAAGTCACACGCCCAGTGACCTGCCCTTTCCAGCCAGGCTCCACCTCTGACAGTGAGTCTTATACAGGATATTTTAGATTTAACCTGTGACAAGCATATGCCATGAATCCCTTTCTAAAGCACTTAAATTCTGATGCATTTCCTTAAGATGTAAGTAACAGAAGACGGAGAAAGGGAGGGTGAAGAAGGGGATGTATAAAGTCTCAGATGTGTCATGTATGATGAATGTAATCAATATGTACTGAAAAATTATACTGTAAAAAGTAAAAATCAAGTATGTCAGTTTCTTAATCTTTTCTGGATTAACTTGGTTTACTGATATTCCCCCCAGTGAGGTCAACCTTACAAATTAAATGGCAGTTATGAAGCCCCAATAAATTGCAGAAATTGGGAATATTATTGCCACTGTGTCAGCGAAAAAATGGTAATTCATGTGGGAGCTGCAATCCCTGTAACAGTGTTCCTCCATTGCATTTTATAATAGAATTTAATTCTTGAATAGAAAATTTTACTTAGACTTAATTGTGCACTTGAAATATATTAGGATGAGCTACATAAAGCATGATCATTTCTGAAAGTCATTTTAAAATAATTAGGCTATTAGAAATTGTGCTTTCTCAAACTTTATGATTTAGAAAGGGATATAAATTTTGATGGAGGCTGAAACAGCCTTTTCTGCTAAACTCTTTAGCAATAGAAAACAATAATGTTGTTGTTTATATATTTGGTACAAGGTCTCACTATGCAATTTGTAGTAATCCTCCTGTCTCAGCCTCCCCAGCACTGGGATTACAGGCAGGTGCCACCACACCTGGACTTGGTGGCTGGCTCAGTGCGTCCAAGGGTGGGGCCAGCCTGGCTTGTGGTACCAGGGATTGAACCCTGGTCCCTGTGCCTGCCTGAGCAGGTGCTTAGTCAGCTGAACTATCTTGTATTATTGTTTTTAATAGTTTGTGTAGGAGTGGAAAAAATATATAAGGGATGAAAGGTGTTTATAGTTTTAATGTTGTTATGCATTTAATTAAATTTGATAGGATAGCTTATTTGCTGAAAAATAATTATTTGGTAAATTCTTTTTTTTTTTTTTTTTTTTTTTTTTCAGAAAATATACTTCTGAGTTTTCAGTACTGAGTGGCTGGAGGGTTTCTTTTTTTTTTTTTTTGTGGAACCGGGGATTGAATTCAGGCGCTTGCACTTGCCAGGCAAGTGGTTATTCTATTGCGCTATCTCCCCAGCCCCTATTTGGTAAATTCTTTTCCAATTGGTTTTCCTCTGTTTTTATAGTTCTTATTTTTATAGCTCCTCAAATTTAATCTAAAAGGTTGGTTAATTTTAAATATAACCAATTTATACTTTTAAATAACTTAGTAAGTTACCCCTTAATATATTTAAATTAATGTACCATTAAACAGTAAATTAATGTACCATTAAACAGTGAATATATGGAAAGATTAACTGTGTTTTTCTTGCAGCAAACACTGCTCATAATGGAAAAGTGAATGGCTTGCGTTTCACAGACGATGGCCTTCACCTCCTTACTGTTGGAACAGATAATCGAATGAGACTCTGGAATAGTTCCAGTGGAGAAAATACATTAGTAAGAGAGTTTTAAGTACTGTTTTTAGATATACAGTAAAAAATGGATGTGTAGTATGTTTCTCTATGTATTTAATTCCATTTTTGCCATTAAAGCATAGCTCTTTTATTTTGGGGAAGTGGTGAGAATCAAATTTAGAACCTCGTGCTTCCTATGAGATGCTCCGCTGCTGATCTATATCCCCAGCCCTTGTTTTCGTAAAAATGCTTTCTTTCTCACTATTTGCGAAAAACCCACTCCTGCCACATTCCTTTAACTTACTAGAGAGTCATCCTTTGCTGTGGTATTGATCCTCGTCCTAGCATCCCATATTGCTCAGGTATTTGGAGAGAGAATAAAAAGATTAAGAATTACTGATACAAATAAAAATTATACAGTTTGATTCTGTAGTATAAATGAGTCATAAAACCACACAAGATTATTATATTAGCAAAATGTACTGGAATAAGAGTGTTTTCAGAGTTTTAGCTTTTTGTGTTTATTTGTTTCCAGTGCTGGGGATTGAACCCAAGGCCTCAGGCATTCTGGGAAACTTGGTACTACTGAGTTACCACACAGTCTCAAAGTGCTGTATTCTCCCCGTGTCAGATAATTTCTTGTATACATTTATGTGTGCTGTGGTCCTTACCAGGTTTAGTAACTTTGTGAATAAACTAACAGAAGTTTATACTTTGATAGTAACAACAGCTACTATTCTTTAACAGCTCACATGCAGATACATTGCCAATAATAGTTAGCAAAGATGTGCTAGACCATATATTGTCTCGTGGACTCATCACCCCAGCACTGTGTTGGGAGTTTGTGTTATAACACTCATTTTACGCCAGAGGAAAACGAGACAAAAGCTTGCCTCCATTTACACAACTAAAAAGCCACAGAGTTTGACTTTAGACTCCATGCTTACCATAACATGAATTAAGCCCAGACACCCTTTGGGTGAGTATGTAGGCATTAATATTAATCATATTCCCTCATCTGTTCATCCTTTCTCACATAATGAGAATGCTTTAAAATATTAAATGCTTTAAAATGCCTTAGGTCTCACCTTGATTCTCAGCACTAACAGAAAATTGGTTCTGTCTGCATTATTTCATTTTACACTCCTCCATTCTTCCCCCTGTATTAGGGTGGAATCCGTGGACTCGCACCTGTTAGGCAAGTGCTCCACCACGAGCTCTGCGCTCAGCCCCACCCACCCTGATCTATCTGAGACCGCTCTCTGTCACGTCTCAGGCTGCACACTCAGCGTGGTGCCTTACAATTTAGAATGCTCCATTCATTAGATGGTGCCATATATCTGAGGAGTCGTATGGTCCACACCCTCCTCTCATTTTTTAAAGTAAACATTTATTGAGCACTTATTGAGCACTTATTTGCCAGGCAGCTTTATATAACAATGGACAAAACACAAAATAGGCTTATCCTCAGGAATCTTCTCACCCAAGGAGAGGACGAAAGGCATCAGTTAGTCAGTAGATGGATAGATGGGTGAATTGTGTCAGATAGGATGAGCACTGTGAAGAGAAGCAGAGCAAAAAAAGCCTGCGAAGTATTGGGACGTTAGAGCTGCCGTATTTCATGGTGTAGTGAGGGTAGGCCTCCCTGAGAAAGTGACATTTGTCTTTAAAAATCCTGAGGAATGGAGGGAGCATTCTAGGTGGAAGAAAAGGGAAAGTACAGGCTGAAGTGGTACCATGGCACAGCGCAGGACCAGTGGGAGGCTCTGGCACTGGAATGTAGAGAGAACAGCAGGGGGCTGTAAGGCCTGGAAAGAGCAGCTAGCAGAGCACGCGGGCCTGCAGCACTGTGGAAGGGCTGAAGCTTTGCTCTGGGTAGCGTGGGAAACCTCTACGGCCTTTGAGTAGAAAATAGTCTGACGTGTGTCAAGGCTTAATATGATAAATATGAATTCCTAGTATTTTGGCTGTCATAAATTGTATTCCATTGCTTTATGTGTCTGCTTTATGGCAGTGCCAGCAAGGCTGCTGTTTATGATATTTATATTTGTAAAGTGCAAATACAGTGAGCACTTAGTACCTGGTAGAGCCCTTCCTGCCTTAGTCTTTTTCTGAACTTCATTTCAATCCACAGGTGATTTGATTATTGTAATGATTTAGACAGATTAATATGACATAAATAATAAGATGAAGTGGAAGAGGAAAACTTTAGGATAAAAGTTAATGTAGAAAGCTAGCTCTGTTCTTAAATCTGTTCAACACATTGCAGTTAGCATTTGGGAAGGAATAGTATAATGGATGGGGGTAGGTTTTGCAGCTATGTTCTAAACAAATGTGAACAAGGCCGTAACAGTCTAGCCATGTGTACTTCTTTCCAGGGATCACAGAGAATGACTAGTTGAGAGGCATTATGTGTTTTGTCCCCACCCCCTCCATATCATTCTAGAAAGTCCTGTACATGCTGAATCAATCGATACCAGTGAGGGAATGTTAAACTTTTAAACATGCAAAGAAAATTAATTTTGAGACTTACTATGTCCCAGGTGCTCTCAGATGTATTATTTCACTTGCTTTTTCACAATACCTGTAAGTAATGTTATTTCCATTTAACATCTTAGCAGAGTGAAACTCAAAGGTGAAATCATATGGAACCAAAAAAATAGATTTTTAAAACCCAAGTCTGTTGAATGTGTAAGTGTAATGTTTAACCCACTTGTGTCACCGTGATTGTGGTGTCCCTAAATGTTTGCACTCCTGTCTGTTAAATGTTAATGGTAGGTAAGTCAAGTCCGATAGTGTGTTAGTTACTCTTTTCTCTTTGCTGGGACAAATACCCAACACTCAGAATGAGGGAAAGAAAGGTTTATTTAGCTCACAGTTACTGGAGAAGAGGCTGGGGTGCTGCCGTGTTCAGGATGACCCTCTCCACATGTCTCAGCACAGGCTAGCCAGTTTAAGGGTTCCTGCCTCTGGCCCCGCCCCCTCTGGCCCCGCCCTGGCTGGTCCTCTGGCCCCATCCCCAAGCCACTCCTTGCTCCTCCAGTCTGGTCTGCCCATAACTTACATGAGGCTTTGGGGGGACAACTAGACACAAACCATAACAGGTACCTGTTGTAATCCAAAAATCAAAAACTGGACTCAATTTAGAAGTGCTTTATTTAGCTGAGCTCAGCGGCGGCATGTACTCTCGTCTCCAAGTATGTGCGTGCCGAGGTGGGGAGAGACAAGGGTTTTTAAAGCTGAAAACCACAAAGAGGAGGTGACTTGAGCACGAGGGAATGCAGTACTGGGGTCAGCGTCCACTTACGGGAAACAGGTTACATTCTTTTAACATGCGGTTACAATTTTAGGAACAAATAATTAATCCTTATGGCATGGTGTTGATCACAGGATGTCACAAAAAGGTATCGAGATAATTTGGGGAACGGGGAGTTATCCTTAGAACAGAGAGTTATTGCCTTAAGATATGGGGCTGATCACAAGAAACATTGTGAACAGGGACTTGTCCTTGAAACAGAAAGTTATCTTAGGATATGAGGCTGATCACAGGAAACTTTGTGTAGACTGCTTTTAACAATCTGTGGCTCAGAACAAAGGAATATTTTGAACATTAACAAAACTGTGTTCAGAGGCCAGATGGAGGGCTTGAGCCACAAAGATGAAGTCTAAGTTGTCAGCTTATGCCAAATAGTCCTCGTTAATAAAGCTACAGTGGAAACATACAGAGGTGTATAATAGAATGGCTATTCTGGTTAGAAAATGGAGTCAGTCACATAGGTTATAACAAATGTACAGAGTTGTATAACAAAATAGCTGTTTTGGTTACAAAAATGGAGACAGTTACATAGATTATAACAATACCCACCATATCACACATACCTGCTTGGGGCTCAGGGTTTCTATTTGTATATATATATATATATATATGCACACGTACTTCTACCCAACCTCTAAAAAAAAGAGAAAAATGAAAACAACTATGTAAAGTCTAACATTAGCCATGGAAGATTTTGGCTATCTCCATAGTCATAATTCCCAAATAATTAATTATGAGTTTAATTATCATCAAGAAGTAAACCTGTCCCAAACTGGCCCACATGCAGATTGCTTGATGATTTTGTAGAAATAAAGCTTGTTCTCAGTAATTTTGTGATGAGATCTGAAGTCTACATACGTCAAGCCTCCAGCAACACTCATTGTCCGAGTTGGCCGAGTATACAAGGGCAGAATTTTCCTGTTTGTCCCATTTACAGAATTATTTACATAAATTTGAAATTACAGCATACACAGTTACTATGTTTTATGCTTTTTTAAAAAAATACTTAGCCTCTATTTTTATTTCTTGCACAGTTTGCATTGCATGATTTCTAGAAAACATAAGGTTAACATTAGAAGTACATGTCCATTCTCAGTTGTTTGCCTTTTTGTGTAACACTGCCCTTTTAAATCAGTCCTCGTGGCTATTTATGCTGTTTAGTATTTCCTGAAGATTAGCTCTCAGGAACAATTACTTTATTGAGGGATAACAATACCTGTCTTGTTCAATGTGTGCAATTTTGCAAGATAAAAAGTGTTCTAGAAATGGATGTTGGTATTGATTGCACAATGGTGTGAGTGAACCTAATGCCATAGAACTGTGGTCCTAAAAATGGTTATGATGGAAATGTTTTTTTATTATTATTATTATTATTATTATTATTTTTTTTTTTTTTTTTTTTGGCGGAACCAGGGGTTGAACTCAGGTCCTTGTGCTTGCCAGGGAAGCACTTAGTCCACTGAGCCATCTCCCCCCACCCCCCCCCCCCCTGCTTTTTTTAATCACAGTTAAATTTTTAAGAAAAAGACTAGGAGGCTATTCATAATGCACTTGCTCTTCCAAGAGAATGTTGCATTTTTGTTACATAGCAAACTGTTGGCCCTTTTAGGAAAAATAATTAAAATGTAATGTTGCAAACATGTTTGCCCCACTTGTAACAGCGGTAAATGTCTTATGTTTCTTAAATCTTTGTCGAACAAGGGACTGTGGATGTAGTTCAATGATAGAACACTTGTTTAGCTTTACTTCCTAGCACCTCTTAACATTTTTTTGTCAGTGTAAAATTATTGTTTGAGAGTGCTTTAATTTGCATTATTATTTCCGTTAAGATTAACAAGAACATTTGCCCTTGTGTTTTGTCCACTGTTTTGTGTTTTCTCTTATATGAAATGTACAGTTATGACCTTGGACCTGTTTCTGTTAAAATTGGAACATTTCATTTAAATTTAATGACCTTTCTTTCAATTTCTCTTACACCAGGGAGACAATAGGATGTTTACACATGAGCGTCTGATTTATTTCACTTATCAGTATGGTCTCTACTTGATCCATTTACCTATAAAAGCCTCGAGTTTATCTTTCTTTATAGCTCTATTGTATAAAAATACCAGAATCTACTAAAGAGAAAGAAACTGCTGAAAATGAAAGAATAGAATAACTATGGTGGGAGAGATAACAAAGAAAGAAGGAAGGGGAGGAAATATATGTATCTGTATTTTATATATATATATAAAATACACACACACACACATATATATACACATATGTTAGCTAAAATAATTGTATTATTAATTTATATTGGTACATTGAAAGGAACAGCTAATTCTTATTGCTTGAGCAATTTGGCACGCCTGTATCTGATACTCTGAACAACTACTTAGACAACAGTGTGCAATACAACAATCATTTTTAATTTCCCACCCTCTTGTTTGGAAGTTCTCTATCATTTTTAACTGTTTTTTGATATTTTCTTTAAGATAGATTTAATGGCCTTTCTATAGAAGCTTCTGTCTTTGAAGGAAAGTATTTGTTTGCCTTCGCCTTTTTAATTTAGATTTAATAAATGAGTAACTTTATGATTTTTATCCCATAGGTAAACTATGGAAAAGTTTGTAACAACAGTAAGAAGGGATTGAAATTCACTGTTTCCTGTGGCTGCAGTTCAGAATTCGTGTTTGTACCATATGGTAGCACCATCGCTGTTTATACAATTTTCTCAGGAGAACAGATAACTCTGCTTAAGGGACATTATAAAAGTGTTGACTGCTGTGTGTTTCAGTCTGATTTCCAGGTAAGAATGACATGAAAGGAATTTAAACTGTTTAGGTGGCTGGCTTGCCAGATTGGCGGTGAGCAGAGGCGTAAACTGTGATTTCCTTCTGCGGGGTTATATTTGTAACGCACGTTTTACTGAAATTTATTTCATAGAGAATGCTGTAGTCTTGATTTGGGATAGCATATTAGCCATGGAAATTCTCACATGAAATAAAATATTTTCTTGCAGCCTTTTTTTTTTTTTTTTTAATTTTTTTTATTTGTGTGTGTGTGTGTGTGTGTGTGTGTGTGTGTGTGTGGCCAGCTCAGCCCACCAGGGGGCGGGGCTGGCTGGCATGTGGTGCTGGGGGATTGAACTGCGGTCCCTGTGCTTTGCTAAGGTTGTTCTGAGTAGGTGCTTCAGACCACTGAGCCATCTCACCAGCCCTTGCAGCCTTTTGAGTAAGAAATGAAATATGTTTTTAATTTCAGTGTATATTTTGCTTTATGTATATGCATGTCTGAAATTTTATTTTTCCCTTTTCCTGCCCCTGGCTGACAAAAATGTGACAGTGAGCTAATGCAGTGTCAATTACTGAGGCTTTTTGCTTGTTTAACATTCTGAATTGTCATGTCATCAGTGGAACAGGTATTTTATGTGATAATTTCTTATTTATATTAGTATATGTATGATGGTTATATTCATCTTAATTCCATTTTTAAAACCCCTCCCACCCCCTTTTCCCCCTCCCTGCATCTCTTGAACCCCTTCTGCTGTGTGTGTTTGTGCCCTGCATGTGTATGGATGTATGTGTAAGTGTATATTATTCTCTTACGTGTTTGAGTACATGATAACCACATTCCTCATAGGTGCTGGGCACATGCACGCAAGACTTTGTGACCTTCTCCTTCCAATCTTATTTCCCTCCCCTCTCTTTCTTTCTTGGTTTTGGAGCAGGTTTTATTGAAAGAACACTTACACGTATTGCCTGATATACTCTCTTAAGCTAGTAGTAGCAAGTTGTTATTTCCTGTTTTGTAGTTGAGGGAAAGAATATTCATGAATGTTAAATACTGATAGAATGAAAACTGTGGACTGTTAGAACTTTTCTAGGGAATTTATCCCTTGGGGAAAGGCCTGTCCCTTCCTTCATTCATATCAGTTACCTCACTTGTTCCAGACCCTGTGCCATAAGATATATAGGCCTGATTCTGTAGCCAGTGGACACTAGCATGACAATGTTATCAGTGTGTCCTACTGACTGCTAAGTAACTGTTGCACCAGTCTCCCCCAAGCGACCTCCAGCCCCAGCCCCCACCCTGAAATTCCTAGATACCACCTAAAAGGGAGCCTCCAGGACCCTGTTTCCACACAGTAGAGAGTGTCTTCTCTGCCTAGTCAGTGTCCTCATGTCCTAATTGTTAAATATTCTTAGAGTCATTTCTGGGGACAAAACATGAAAGCATGGGAGCGGATACATGATTTGCCCCAAACGTACAAGTAATTATTGATAAAACACAACTCTATAGTCAGACATTCTTATGATACTAACCCTCACTTAAAGATACAGACAAAATTTTAACCAAATATTCTGACTAAAATTATTGCTGTGTGCGTCACAGCTCTTACTGAGTCAGAGCGTCCTCATCTGTGCATAGGGGTTGGAAATGTGCTAAGACACTGATTGCTCTCTGTCTTTGCACCAGCTGGGACCGCCAGAGGCCTGGGGCCGCTTGCGTCCTGTGAAGCGCCATTTCTGTGTGCTATGAGCTCCGAGTAATCACTGCACTGCTTCAGAAAGTTCCTGATTCTTATCCCATTTCACATCTTGTGATTCTACAACTAATTCCACATCTCCAAAGGAAGAGTATAGTACTTTTTTATCCGTTTAGTAACAGTATTTTTGCAAATTATGTATTACATAAAATTCGCTGTCTAAAAATAGAATTATAATAATTCCATCCCAAATATAAAAATCTGATGTGAAAATGAAGGTAATAGATTATAACCTATTGACTAAAATAGACGTCTATAAAACTATACTCATATGAATAATAAAATATGTTGAGGAAAGGGGTACTGTATTTCCATAGCCTCAGACCACTGCACTACAAAATAAGTAAAAAGATTAAATTTTCCTTGAAAAGCCTGGCATATTATTGTCACCAAATTATTAATGTGAACATCCCTGTTCTGAGACCCCACTTCTACTATAGTACTTGCAAACTTACATCATCTGGTTTTAATCACGAAGAGATATGAGATGAGCTACATTTGAAGGACTTTCTACTAAATAATGAGTGCATTTTTGAAATAGTCAAGAATAAGAAAGCCCCAAAGAGATCAAAGAACTGTTTCCAAATGAAAACATGAATCATGCCACCTGTGTATCATGTTAGCAGGACCCATTTGCTACTGAGAACATGACTGAACAATTGGATAAATTTTGAATGGGTTTTAAGAATTAGGAAGTTCCTGATTCTTATCCCATTTCACATCTTGTGATTCTACAACTAATTCCTCATCTCCAGAGGAAAAGTATAGTACTTTTTTATCCACTGAGTAACAATATTTTTGCAAATTATGTATTACATAAAATTCGCTGTCTGAAAATAGAATTATAGTAATTCTATAAGGAAACGATACAATATTTACATATGTGTGTCTGGATTATTTCGCTTATGTGTATGGCCTTTAATTGCATTCATTTACCTATAAAGGCCTCAAGTTTGTCTTTCTTTATAGCTGAGTAATATTCCATTGTATAAAAATACCACATCTTTTTTATCCATTCTTCACATAATGGTCATTTTGGTTGTTTCCAAGATTTGGCTATGAAAAATTGTGCTGCTATAAAGATGGGTGCGCATATATTACTGTAGTATGATGTTTTCATTTCTTTTGGAAATTGGGTTGAGTGGGACCTCCAATCTTAGTTTTTTGGAGGAGTGTCCACACTGATTTCCATAGTGGTTGTACCAGTCCACATTCCCACCAGCAATGGAAAGGGTTCCTTTTCCCCCACAGCCTTTCCAGCATTTGTCATTAGTTGATTTCTTTATGACAGCCATTCTTTCTGGGGTGAGATGGTATCTTAGTATTGTTTGAATGTGCATTTCTCGAATTACCAGTGCTGTGAAACATTTTTCATGGATTTATTTGCCATTTCTATTCCTTCCTTTGAGAAATGTGTGTTCATTTCAAATATCCATTTTTGGATTGGGTCTTTGAATTTAGGTGGCATGATCTTTTTTACTTCTTCATATATTCTAGATAGAGGCATTTCGAGCTTCCAAAAAAAAAAAAAAAAAAAAACCTTCTAGATAGAAGTCCTTTGAGTGATTGTTGTTTAAGATTCTTTCCCAATTCACGTCTTTTCACTCTGTTGCTGATTTCTTTTGATGTACAGAACTTTTATCAATGAGATCCCAGTTCCTGATTCTTGTGCATTAAAATGTTTGTTCGTGAATTCTCTACCTACTCCTGTGTCTTCAAGATTTCTACCTACTTTCTCTTCCAGTAGATTTAGTGTTTCTGTTTTAATGTTTAGATCTTTAATCCATTTTGACTTTAGTGCATGGTGATAGACCAGGTTCTAGTTTTAGTTCTCGGCATGTGGAGAGCCTGTTTTTCCAGCACCATTTGATAAAGAGGCCATCTTTCTTCCAGTGTACATGTTTGTCCCCTTTGCCAAAGATAAGGTGACTTAGTGTGTTTGTAGTATTTTGTATCTTTAATCTGTTCCACTGATTCTCAGGTCTGTCGTGAAAAACAATTTTTATGGCTACATAGTACTCCATGATGTGAATACAATGGTAATTTATTAATAACTACTGCTTTATTTTGACAATTACTCTCTTTTTTCCTATGAAAAAGTTTATATGAAGAATATAATGTTTGAATTTTGTGTGTGATTTTGGCATAACTTTTCAGGGTTACATACAAAAGTTTGAGAGTCTACTGTAGCAAATGTTATATCAATTTATATCCTCTATATGCAGAAGCATCTATTTTACCACCCCCTGAGAATGTTTTCAGTAATAGTCCTTCTAACATGCCTTCAGTTTTGTTGGGAAGGAGAATGAGTATTATTCAGCCAAGAGCAAACAGTATTTCCATGAAAGACATAGGCAGACTGTGCCTGAGCCCACACTTCCATTTTCAAGGGAAGCTCAACTGACACGGTCCCGGTCTTTATGCACTTGTGTTGAATAGCAGCAAATTAGGCAGCAGCAAGCTAAAGAAAACTTTTTGTCAGGGCTTAGCTGTTTTATAAGGAACATCCGGCTTCTTTGTTTTTTTCTCTAAAGCTGTGTTGCTTTAGAGAAATGTAAACTTTTCATTCTATGCTCCCACCCCCAAATCTGGCACTTGAACTGTATGGATGCCATAATTGGTAAAAGTGCTAGGATGTTGAATGTTTTTCTAAATTTTTTATAGCATTAGTAAAAAAGTTTTTACTGTATCTTTAAAAACACAGAAAAAGGGCGGCCAAATAGCTCAGTGGATTAAAGCTCCTGCAAGCAGGCCGAGAGGCCAGGAGTTTGATTCCTGGGCCTGCCGTGCTGGCCCTGCCCCGGGGCACACTGAGATGGCAATTGAGACAGCATGATGGCATGCGCCTGTACTCCCAGCTCTTGGGAGGCTGTAAGCAAGAGAATCATTATGAGTCCAATCTAGTAGTGAGACCCTGAACACCCTGTAGACCCTTTCCTAAAAAATACAGAAAAAGGAAAAACGACTTTTAGACTTTTTTTTTTTTCAGACAATAGAAATAAAATTGATGTGATTAATCTAACCTGAGAATCATTTTGAAAGTGGATATAGTTCATTCATTTGCGATTGTTACGAACTTTAGAGTGATCCTCAGTATCACCTCTGCTGTGTGCATTGTAGGAACTTTACAGCGGTAGCAGAGACTGCAATATTCTTGCGTGGGTACCATCCTTGTGTGAGCCACTTCCTGAGGAAGATGAGGTAAATATTAGTTGTACAAATGGTACAATGACTTTTAAATCCTAAGGAATAAGTTTTATTTGTTTATATGAGAGAGACTTTTAAAGCATGTCTATAATTAGTTAATATCCTTGTTGGACACACAGATATCTTACTTTTCTGATAGACATTGTACAATAAAGCTTCTTTCAGTCATTAGTAACTATTTACAAACATTTTTAATGATACACTGCTCTGTCACTTTTGTGTTAACAACTGCAATATCAGTTTGTTTCTGTTCATTATTATAAGCAAGGTAAATATCTGTTCAGAAATTGTTTATATATCTGCTTTTTTTATTTCTAAAAGTGAAATTATCTTAAGTTACAATGTATATTTTAAGGTGTTTTTATTCACATTGTTGTCTTACCAATTTATAATTCTTTTAGCAATATAAAGTCTATCTGAAAGCATAAATTACTATAGATATGACAATGTGAATAAAAAGCAGTAGGAAAAGAAAGACGTGTTAGACATTATCTCTGGTGTTACGTAGTATCTTATTCCAAAACAAGTATGCCAAGCAGTAGTAACAGGTTGTCTGGAGGTAGTGTCTCTTCTGCCGAGGATTAGTCTACGGAGCACTATTAATTATCCCCATTCATCTCACTCTCTAAGATATGAAAAGTATAATGTCTAAAGCAATGTTTATATAATGTTTAAGTCAGAAGTACGGATACTGTAGTTAGAAACACATAGTAAAAACAAAGCTTCTTAGATGGAGGTGAAAGAGTTAATTGATAAAGCAAGTTTGATGTTAAAAAACATTTTTTGACATACTCATTTCCTTTGTGAAAATAGGACTCTGTCAAAAAAACACATGAAATAAGTGTTCTGTGTAGTAGTTGATAGTATCTGGCAGCTATTATCAAAATATATTCCATACCTTAACTTGCAACTAGTATGGTTTATTACACTGAAAAGCCTGTGAATTATTTTCTTTTGACCCTAGTCCAAACGAAGGAGAGAAAAAAACACATGTTGATAAATGCGGTGAGCCAAATCTGTGTGTGTCTGGATTTCATCACGTGCATAATTTGGCTTATTGTGGCTTGATTAGTTTCAGCATATAGCTGCTTCTGAGGACTGAACATTCTTCATTATAAAGTTTAATATGGTTAAGTAGTTTAGCTTTGCTACTTATTTTGCATTTTTTCTAAATTATATATCCTGCTTTTGGTGAATTGCTATTTATATTAAACCACAGTCAGAGGACTCTGAGCCATGTTAAGAAGCATAACAGTCTTTTACCAAATGAAAATAGTAAGAATTAATATAAAGTAAATCAACTGTAACTTATTTAGAGAACAGCCGGAGAAAACTACATTGCTTATGAGGAAGATAATTTGTGACTCTGATGTTTGTTTCCTTGTTATATAATTATACTGATAGTTTGAATTCCACATCTAAAAGAACTTTTATTGGAAACATTAAGCCAAAGAAATAGAAAGTAAAATAGGATATACCAAAACAAAGTTGAGCTTGATATTTAAGTCTTAGAGCTATAAAGCCTTTTCTTTTAAAATATATTATTCAGACGCTTTAACTTTAAGAACATAATCATTGTCATACTAATATAAAATATTTTCATTTAAAAAAATTAGATGATAGGAGTTTTATGGTTTTAAGCATATTTCATTATTTCATTTTCAGGCTGTTTTAACCACAAATGTGGTATTTTATTTGTCATAGTTTTAATAACCGAATTATTCTTATGTGTAATGTACACATCTTTGTTTTATTACTATATATCGCAACACTTACATATAAAGATATTATAATTTTCATGTGGTTGTATTTGTGTTTGTTTTCTCACCTTACCACAAATAATTTATAATGAGATATAATTTATGTCTGTTGAGTCTTCCAGTGAAGCCAAAATGCTTAGTAGCTATCTATTGGCCTTCCGTTGTGGAATTGGGAGGCCTGACCTTTCTATGGCTTACCTACCCAGGGAAATTTGTTAGATAATTGAGACAAAACTTTCTAAAGATAGTAGGGAAGAAAGCCACCCAACACCTTGCGCAGTGTATCGGTAAGGAAACTCTCACTCAGTAATCCACCTTGGTAGTTAAGCTGTTAACACAAAAAGACAGGAAACTCAGAATATGTTCACATCAAAAACTAAATGCACAGACCTGGGTGTACTATCCTTACATATAAGAAGATGGCTGCTAGTAATGAGTGGGTCGTTACCTGGGGTTTGGGCATAGTTTTGTAGATGTGCAAAATGGAATTTTGGTTGTACACCTAAATGAAAGTAGCCAAATTAAGATCCATAATGTATTCCATTTGTATTTTTAAGCAGTTACTACATTGGACCAGGGGTGTAGCTTAACAGCAAAGTGCCTGCCTGGGAAGCACAAGGTCTTGAGATCAACTCCTGATTCTAAAAAAGGAAAAGAATGATTACATTAATATTTTCTTTTGCTGTCTTTCCTAGCTAATACTAAGGAAATTTATTGGAAACACTTTTTCTACCATTTTATTAGAAGATTCTGAGTCCTAATGTTCATCAAAAGGAAAATGAACAGGCTCAGATACGCAGTAGGGGTGCCCCTTAATGAAGTATTTCTGTAACTTATTAAAGACAATATCTTTAGGATAATTTAAGAATAATTTTGGTGACAACACATTATTGGAATTTGGATCTGATCAAACTGGCAAATGTACAGGCTGCAAAATGGGAAACAAATTCAACTCATATGCCCAGAAACTTAATTAATGCCACTATGCTTAAATCCATTTAGTCCTGGGCAGAAAGTAGGAAAGTAGCCATTCAGGTTTCCCAAACAAGTGAATTGATGTTATAATTCATAATAAGTCTATTCCTAATTAATTGAATTGCTATGCAGTAATTGCTGACTAATTCTACTAGTTAGGGTTCTAAAGTTGTGAATACTGTGCTATTTTCTTATTCTCTTAAACACTATCCAGTGCATGTTACTCTTCAGAGAAACTTCCCAGGGAAGCCTAATTATCAGCTTGTTACATTTCTGATAATGTTTTGCACATGTTTCTGGAGTACTTTGCTAGCTATACAAAAACACGCAGAGAAAGTTCACCCTTTAATAATCCCCTTCACTTTTGGGATCTGAAATGGTATCAGGCATCTTGATGAACAAACACCTGTGTCTCCTGTGTCAGTATCTGTTTATTTCTACAAGTCCACTCAGCAATGAGAAGTTGCAGCATTAAGTTCAACAATTACAGGCTCCCAGTGAGCCTTAGACCTAGAGCAGTCCTAGCCCCGTGGGTGTCAGTGTCCCCGCCCCTCCAGCTGATCCTGGAAAGGTACAGCAGCGCCCCCACCCCCAAAAGCCACAGCAGCTTCCCACGCGGGCACCAGTGAGCTGAAGCACACACAGGTTATTTGCATAAAGTCTAGGAGAGCTGTTTCATTGAAGTCATTATCTTATACATGTTTGGGATATTTCTTATAAAACTCTAATTGCTGTTCATCTGGCATATTTCATAATTATATTAAGAGCCTAAAGTTGTAAAGTAGAAAAATATGATCTTCCTTTGTCTTTTTTTCCAGACTAAAACTAAGTCCCGGTTAAATCAGGCCTTTCAAGATGCCTGGAGCAGCAGCGACGAGGAAGGATGACTTCCACCTTTCTGCTCTTCGTTTCTCCTAAGGATGGAACTTTTTGAGCAGCACTGTTTGTATGTGGGGTTTTGTAACTGTTCATTCTATTCCTAAAAGTTAAGTTAGCACTAAATTTGGATGATATTTTTTCCTTGACATTTTAAAATGAAGTTTATCTTTGTGTGAAATCCTATGGCAGACTTATATTATTTAATCAGCGAGAAAAGAAACTGTAAAAATAAGCAAATGATGTGAAAAGGAATTCAGAGGTAACACCTGATTAGCCAAAAAGTCTCACAGTGCCAGACCCAGTGTGAAGTAGGTGAAGCCGCACAGTATTGTTATTGACAGAAACTGCAGCCAACAGTTGATCAACAGGGAGTGACCAAAAATACAGTGAATGTTTCCATCAGAAACATTTATTATAGGGGCTGGGGATGCAGCGCAGTGGTGCAGTATCTGCCTGGGCAAGTGCGAGGTCCTGAGTTTGATTCCCCATACAAAAATAAATAAACTTTTATTATGGTAAAAGACACATGGCTGTTAATTTCTCTCAAAGTATTCTGTTGCTTCTAATACTTATCCCATCACGATGGCAAAGTCCTTTATTTATGATGTTTGTTTTTATTTAAACATTTTGTAATAAGGAGTAAAGAGAGGCCCATTTTTAAATCACCCATGTATATAATAACGAAATGAAAAAAATGTGTGTTATTGTGTGTGTGTACATATAGTCTGAAAACAGTAAGTATTCACAAGATTTAGAGAAATATATATGTAGATATATATAGTAGTGGAAGTAGAAATTGTAATTCTTTAGGAAAGTAGGGCAGTGCTATGCACTGAATGTTAATGATCTCCTCAGATTCATGTATGAACCCTTGTCCCCAAATGTGAGGACACCTGGTGCTCACCAAGGATATACATAAGGGAAGGAATAGCCATGAGAACACAGGTTGAGAAAAGAACCCTCACTGGAACCCAACTGTGCAGGCACTCTGACCTGGGACTTCTGTCCTCCAGAACCGTAAGAAAAAAGCACCTGTTTTTGGGCCACCCAATGTGGTATTTTGTTACAGCAAACTGAACTAACCTTCCTCAGTGTACTAGGATAAAGCCCAGGCAAGAGAAATTAGGAAGATATACCCTGGCCCAGGGGTTGTTCTTCCCACCTGTCCTTCCCTGTTGCCTTGACCTTTACCCTGAGTCTTTGTTAAGAACTCACAGTACAAGAACACTGTGCACTTAGGTGAGATGCTTGAGTCAGAAGTGCAACTTCTTTGGCTACTGGGGGGTGTAGGGGAGGGGCCTTCAGTCTAATTCTAGCACTTGGTTCTGCCTTGTAAGCATGGCCCTTGTCTAGACCATCTTTGTTTCTATAGTTATTGATGCTATGATTCCACATTGCAACAGTGGCGAATAGGATCAGAACCAGACACGACCAGCAAACTTGGTGGGGGGTGGGGGCGGGGTTCCAGGGGAGGGTGTAAGAGTAAAGCTCCAAGGTCTGATGCTGATTCCTGGTCCACCTCCCAGCCTAACAGCAGGAAAGGAGAAACGAATATGCCAGACTTTGTTCCCCTCAACAGTTACGGTTACTTAATATTATGCTCCATCTACTGGGTAGTGCTCCACAAGTCTGCTCGCCAAATACAACACTTCACGCATTTCCTAAGAATCAGCAGGGGTGGTGCTGCCTCCATTGGGCTCCCTCTCCGTGGGTCCCTAGGTCGGTGCAGCCGCAGCTCAGGGGAGCCCAGCCCAGCGCAGCCTTCCCTGGGGATTGTGCTGTGTCTCTCCTCTGCCTCCTCCGTCCCTAACCAGGTTTTCCTGTTTTTAGATCTTCCTGCACCCAATTCCCAAGTGAGTTCTGCACACCGCTGCTCTCGCTCCATTTACATTGTCTCTAGGGGACCGCAGCAACAGCATCTGTGCTCTGGAGGAGTGGAAGCCCATGCATAGCAGAGGGGTCAGGTTGACTGCACCTGGGCTTGAGGGGCAGCAGCGTACAGGGAGCAAGAGAGCTGGGGACCTGCCACTGTGACCGCCAAGGTGTCCTCAGGGCCAGGCTTCAGCCTCGCGGGCCAGCCCACCAGCACCCAGCACCCACCTCCACGCTACGGGAACTTCTTTCCACTGCCCTCCTCCGCAAGGTTTTTTCTGCTCTCGCAGTCTGGAGCAATGGGACAACTCAGGGTCCTGCACTTGGAATAGGGCTCTGTTGCTGTGGTTTTCAGAGCAACATCTGATCCTGTAGCTGACTGTGGCCAGGGAGGGTGTAAGGGTGCAGAGCTGTGGAAAAAGTCATTCAGGAGATGAAACAAGGACTGCTATTGTATCCTTAATAATTGCATAATTGCCATAATTTATACTCTCTGCTTCTAAAGAAGTGATTTCCGTAAGGTCAACTGGGACCTAAGTAAAATCTATCACTTTGTCTTGGCTGATCTAAGTGTTAATGATGGGATCTTCCACAGTCCTGTGAAGCAGGTGATAGTCTCATTTTAGCGATGAGCAAACTGAGGCCAGAGGGCCCACACTACATACCAGTAGGGGTTTCAACTCTGGGCTCTTGCTCAGGCCAAATTGGAATCATTTCATAAACCTGTGTGAGGTATTGTGGACCTGAATTCCAATGGGGAGGCATTGGAAATCCTCTTGTCACCAGATTCCCTCTTCCTCATCTCGTTTATCATTTAGGTTATACCGGTTCATATGATCTACATAAAGATCATTAACAACATAGGAATTACATCTTCAGACCTTTTACCTGATAGTTAATATCTGTAAAATATGATGTGATGTGCATTAAGGTAGCAGAGGTAGAGTAGGTTTCGTGACGTTGGACATACCATGATGAACTGTGCTGCTATGTACATGAACATGCATGTATCTCTGTAATACCAGAACTTGCTTAGAGGGATGCTCAGGAGAGTAGCTGGGTTAAATGGAATTTTTAGTTTCAGATGTTTTGAGGACTCTGCTTCATGATTGCTAATAGTGATTGTAGTAGTTTATATGAACTTCATTTTTATAAACAACAGATTTTCCTCCCATACAGTCATTTAAATGAATTCTAACTATCTTAGGAATCAGTCTGTACAGAAAAGCTGAAAAGTTGTTTTAGATAGTAGCATCACTGAATATGTGTGTATTTATGAAAGTGATTACTGTGAGGCAAACTACTTCTATTTGGATGAATACATATCCCTAGATTTCTTTAGTGCTGTGAGGTTAAAAAAAAAAATACTGTTTTAAAAGAATTGTTACATTATTTTACTTGCATTTTAATGTACGTCAGTTTCTGATCTTACTAAGTCATTGGGAAGGAATGCATCAAACACTAATTTTTTTTATTTATTTATTTATTTATTTATTTATTTATTTATTTATTTATTTATTACCAGCACTCAAGACCTCTTTGAGATTTTGTTTCTGTTTAAATAGTCAGGGTGGGGCAGGAGAAGGAACCAGATCCAGGTAGAAACTGATGAAGCATGGATACCAGGAAGCACACAGATCCAAACCGAGGCCCAAATTTGCCTAGCAGTCTTGGGATTCTTACCTAGGAGATATTTTCTTCCCCAACGCTAGGGACTAAGAATCCACCTGACTTCTGATTGTCCAAAGTCAGAACCCCAATACTGTAGGACCCAGCAGCACTTTCTGCATCTCTTCTCCACATTCTTATGGTTGTTAACCTCTTTGGTCTTCAAAACTGTGAGTCAGAATTGGTAAGACTTTTCCATACAGGGTCATAAAAGTGTTCTAGCATGTTGTCATCTACTAATTGTTGTATTTTTAAAATTTAAACTGTTGATCTGTTTGTTCATCTTATGATATGTTTGGAATCAACTCTTTTCCCCAGACATCTGTCAAGTAGTGTGAAACTGTTGATTGAATAACTACCAATAACTCAGTGCTCACTGAATTGAGATGCCACCTTTGTCATGTACCATATATCCATCCTCCTTATTTACTTATATCAATACTGATTGTATTTTACAATGCTGGAGGAAAAAGTTACAGTATTTCTTGTGGAAAACCTTTTCAAATTTGTGGCAGAATGTACATAATGTAGAACTTACCTCTTTTAAAACCATTGTAAACCATTTTAAGTGTAAAATCTAGTGGCATTAAGTACATTTATGTTGTTGCATAGCCTTTATCACATCAGTCTCTAGAACTTCATCTTTCAGCCTTATGGATTTGAGTCAAATACACTAGTAATTTACTGTACCTCATCCATTTGTATGATGTGTCTGGATGGCAGAGATGTCGAAGGGTGGGAAAACATGCATGTTAGAATTACTAACATGCAGTTCAAAATCCCCAAATCTATTGTTATATTTCTGGCTATAATATTCTCTCTTCATTTGTTTCTTCACATGCTAATAATGCTGCACTGTTTTAATTATTGAAAGTTTATAATATTTTTGAATATAAAAGTTTCTCTTCACTGGTCTTCTTTCAGACAAGACTTCTTTTTCCAGTTATTCTTGTCAACCTGTGCACGTAAACTAAACAGCTTCTCCTTGGCTCTTGTGGGTTATTCTGTTTTGTTTTGTTTTGTAGGTGGTGGTGTTTTTTCTGCCTCTGTTCCACTTAGACATGGAGGGCCTTGGTGGGCCTGAGGGTGAGCTCCAAGTTTAGAAGTAGTGTACCTTCTCTTAAGTTTACATATTTTCCAGACTTTCTTCTAGGTTTTACTTCAGCATTCCTATGGAAGGTGGAGTCCATTCTGGCCCTGTTTTCTCCATAAAAATGAGTTACTCTCCCCAAAAGTTCTTAGAATCATTTAATCTTTTTGTACCTTGTATATAAAATGTCATATTTTTTCAGTGAAGTTGGCAGTGTCCTGAGAAAAATGAAGAATTTGAAATGTTTGCAATGGCATCCTTTTTTAATATAGTTTATTGATGTGCATACTTTCAGTAGAATGTGTTGCTCTATCAGTCTTTTAATTAAATTTTTAGCATTTTTAATATTCTATTACTAAAAAGTTATCTTTATTTGCAGTTTTAGATTATTGATGGAGAACACTGTAGAACAGCTCTGAGGAAGATTTAATATTAAGCAATTGGCTTTCCTTGTTTACCTATAAGCTTGTCCGAGGCCTAGGCCCCTTGTCTGGTGCAGGGTAGCAGTCATAGTAAGTGAACCTCTTGAGTCTCTTGTCTCAGCAGAAGCCTGTAATGGTCTGTGAATCCATGAGCCTCAAATGACAAGATAAGGCCATTCTTGAAGATGCCTGGCTCTAACCCAAATTAACTAAAAAGAGACTTCAGCTTCAGGCTCCATATTCCTACCAAAAAATGTTGATTGAGAGACAAGACAGTCTCAATAGCATACCTTACTACCTGGCAACTTCTTTGAACTGTCTCCCAAGATCCCCTCAGCATGTTAGAGCATTTTCTTGCATTTTCTTCAGTATCCTCCTCACTTGTTTGAAAACTAAATAAATATGGGCCACCCAGAAATGTTCTTTCTTTTAGCCTCCAGAGAATTTGAAATTCTGTTAAGAGGATTTTGAACTTCCTGGAGCCCTAAACTCATACCACTTGACTCATTAAACCTTTCAGTATACACTCATTTGGGAGATTGTGGGCCTTATCAGTCTGCAATAACTAAATAATAATATTAACCCATTAGATTATAAAGTCCTTTCTCTTTTGTCTTACTGAGTATCCATTAGAAGAACTGCACATCTTACATCAAATGGCCTTCGGTGACCTTAGATCCAGGACTGTCTTTATAATTGGATTAGAGATGCTGGTGAGTAACCAAATCTTCTGACCAAGGCTTCTCTTTCCTCTTTATGTCAGATTCCCAGAAAGCAAATGTCATTGAAACCGAATGAGAAACTTTGCCACTTTACACTATTATTAGTACTTAATGAGGGTTTCAGTTCAGATGTGTCCATACATAGAGCTACACAGATGTAGAGATTTGGTGGTCTCTCAGTGGTTCCCCAGGAGAAAATGACAAGAGGATTTAGAAAATAAAGATGAGATATAATAGCTGAGGTTAGGTATTGGACCAAGCCTGATTGGCAAAGAACCGCAGAACAATAGTGTGGGCATTTATTTATATCTTTGCAAAATGCCTAGTGACTTACAGCCAACAATGTTCAAGCTGGAGGTTTTCCTCAAGACTGAGGTAGCTTGACTGTTTAGGCAATGAGGCCTCATCCTGCTCTCCCACATAGGATCAATTTCCAGCTTTAGTGGCTCCCAATACACATTTATTATAATGCTTATCCTATTACTCAACTATACTCTCAGTATTCTATTCACTTATCTGTGAATAGAGTGGAACTAGTCTGACTGTGCAGTGAGGGAAACTGGCTAATAAGTGATGGAACATTCCAACTTTGTAACCATCGAAAGTGCATTTGCAGTGATACTGCTCTTTGTGTTGATTTTGTCTTAATACTCCTAAAAGAAATTGGAGTTTCTGCCAAGCAGTTTTGTCCATGCTGAATCTTGACTGGGATACCTAACAGTTTCCAGAGGGATAGCAGAGAAAGAAGAGAGTGTTTTCTAGAACACCCCTGTGTGATTCTAAGGTGCCTGCCTTCTTGCCTTGCCTATTAATATATCAGTGTTTTAGAAGAGCATTTAACACTATGGCAATAAATATAGAATATATTAAAAGAAGGCAAGTTATAAAGCATTATATGTACTTCTGGGGAGGTTAGCAGTTATTTCTGGGTGGTGGAGTAGGCTTGTTCTTTGATTTGTTTATTTTGAATATCTATTATTTTTAGTTTTGTTGTTATCTTATTTGGGTCCTGGAATGGGAATTTGGCGCCTTGTATATGCTAAGCACATATTCTGCTACTCAACTATACTCTCAGTATT